TATTATTATTATTATTATTATTATTAAAGCAAAGCAACTGTATTAATGTTCTTCAGTCAAGAGTAGTGAGTGATTTTTCTCTTTGTGTTTTGTTGTTTTATTAATAAAGGGATAGTTCACCCATCTGTCATCTGTCTGACAGTTCTGTCATAGTGTTTATTTTTATGCCATAATTTACTCACTCAAAAGTTGTTTTAAACCTGAATGAGTTTCGTTCTCCTGCTGAACATTAAATGTTATTTTGAAGAACGTGAAAAAACGTGAAAAAGAGTTGCTGGTCCACAGTGACTTATATAGTATTTTTCCCACTATCAAATTTAATGGGGACCAGCAACTGTTTGGTTACCCACGTTTTTCAAAATATCTTCTTTTGTGTTCAGCACAATACAGAAATAAATACAGTTTTGGCACAACATGTGAGTGAGTAAATAATGACAGAAATTAAATTTTAGGGTAAACCATCCCTTTAATGACAGTCGACAGCATGTTTAGTACTGTCCCTTTAAGGGCACGCATCTAATATACAGGCACATATCCGACTTTCTCTCAACTGTTTACTTTCATTTTAGACATAATCAACTTAGTCTATATGGAAACCTTGTGTGTTTTGTTTTGACAGTATTAGTAACTTAGTCCAGTAATCAACAGTGTGTGAATTAAATGTTTAACGGCTCTAAAGCAGATGCAAATAATGTACTTTTGTGACCGCGAATAAATGCAGTGTCCTATAAGAGTAACTCTACCGCTGAATTAACACTGATGTGAATGTATGTCGCATTGTACAGTATCTTGAGACGGAGGCGCCAGAACTGCAGCTGACAGAATGCACTGTAGCACGATACTACGATATTTCTTCAAAAGCTGATCGTGGAGCCATTTTTATCGTCCACGATCAAAAATCGTCATATCACACACCCCTAATTGTAGGGGTGTAATCAAGCGGCAACCTTCCGGTCTCTCTCGTGAGACCAACACGGAAGTGACTAAAACTGCAATTCATCGACTGGTGAATTTTAAAGCACAGCCACCATAAAATCAGACTTCACTCAGCACCTTTTTTTTTTTGACTTTGAGATAACTCTGAGGTTAAATCAAGCAGCAACCTTCCGGTCTCTCTTGTGAAACCAACACGAAAGTGACTAAAACTGCAATTCACCGACCTCCAAAAGGGAGTAAGTCCCATAGACTCCCCATGTTAAAATGCCCAATTTTACAGCAGAAAAAAATGTTTACAGCCTGGTACAAAAAGTAGTTTTGGTCTATATTGCTAATTTTGCCCTTCATGACAACTGTGAGGGGGGTGAATTTTTTTATAACTCATCCGTTTAAATTATATTAAGCCTTAAAGTTCTGCATAATTAAGGGCGTGGCCACTTGAGTGACAGGTGGATTACTGCTGCTGACGCCACCGTCGCGCTGGGTGGGCAGAGGCTGGCTGCAATAGGGAGTCAATCCCATAGACTCCCCATGTTAAAATGCCCAACTTTACAGCAGAAAAAAACATGTTTACAGCCTGGTTCAAAAAATGATTTTGGTCTATATAGCTAATTTTGCCCTTCATGACAACTGTGAGGGGGGTGAATTTTTTTATAACTCATCCGTTTAAATTATATTAAGCCTTAAAGTTCTGCATAATTAAGGGCGTGGCCACTTGAATGACAGGTGGATTGCCGCAGCTGTCACCACCGTCGAGCTAGGTGGGCGTGGTTTCAGCAACCAGCTCCCGCCTCTTTGCCAATTTTCGATTATCCAGGAGTGACGCGCTGCCAAGATGACGACGGCCAGCTCCGCCAACTTTGAGTTTCAAAAAAGCTCTTCAGAAACCTACGGGTGATGTCACGGACACTACGTCCATATTTTTATACAGTCTATGGGTGTAATGGTACACAAAAATGACGGTTCGGTACATACCTCGATTTTGAAGTTACAGTTTGGTACATTTTTGGTACAGCAGGGGGGAAAAATAAACACAAAATTTCTTCTTCTTTTTATTTTTCATTAAAGGTGCTGTATGTAGGCAAATTTTTTGACTGTAAAGCATAAAAATACCATAATATGTTTGTAGATATTTAGGAAACATGTTCACATACCTGTTTCTCCAAAAACAACGCTAAAGCCCATTATTATTATATGAAATGGGCATTCTGTGTTGGAATGTCTATTTTTTGTTTTTCTCTGCGTGGTTCCACCCACTGCCAGTTTACCCAATAGGATTTCAACACCCGGGTTGCCAGTTGGCGGAAAATACAGCGTATTGCTGCCATTGAAGCCAGCAAACGAACTGGGTCAGAGATCGCAGATTCTAAACCACCTAAAAAGCCTCATCCTCCATCTAAAAAGCTATATGACCAGAGACATATTAAACATGGATAAAACACATAACATGGTTTAATTCATATTTCTCCAATCGAAGTTTTAGAGTTAACATTGGTGAATACTCATCTGAGGTAGCTTCTTTGTCGTGTGGTGTTCCCCAGGGTTCCATTCTAGCTCCTATTCTTTTTTCATTGTATATGGGTTCTATTTTTAGGAAGCATGGTCTTTCATTCCATTGCTATGGAGCTGCAAGGCTTTTAACGTGTACCAAAAAAACGGGATCATATTACGCCGGTTTTACAATGGTTTGGCCCCTACTTATCTTTTAGATTTATTGACTGAACATCGGCCCCTCTTGTCTCTCCGGTCGTCCAACCAGAGATTATTATGCATCCCAATGTCGAAGCTGAAATGCAGGGGTGACTGCGCATTCTCAGTAGCTGCCCCAAAATTGTGGATTGCTCTGCCCCTTTGTATTAGATCTGCACCTTCACTATCTGTTTTTAAATCCATGTTAAAAACTTACCTTTTTGATTTGGCGTTTTATAAATGAGAATGTTCTACTGTACTGTTTCTTTTATATTAATTATTTTGTATTGTCTTATTGAAATGGTTTTAATGTGCAGCACATTGGTCAACCCAGGGTTGTGTTTAATAGTGCTATATAAATATAATGGACATTGACATTGACAAAACAAATCATCACTTTACACTGCAAGGCTCGTTGTCTAACATTGTCAGCAGTTGCACTCGTTTATTGTTAAATCTGGCAACCCGCGTGAACGTCGAGTCTGATGGTCGGGAGAAACAACGCTCTCCAATATTTTTCCAATATTTCTCGGCCAAATATTGTGCTAATGTCTCCAAGATGCTTCAAGAGACCTACCTGCAAAGCTACCTGAAAAACTATGTGCAAGTGCACCTAGGGCAAAAGTTGCTAAACGCAAAGGATGGTCACACCAAATGTTGATTTAATTTAGTTAATAGAAGTTAATTGATAAAGGAAATCTGTTTATGACATTATTTTTGAAAACATTCTCATTTTACCGCATTTTTACACAAGTGCCTAAAACTTTAATGTCTCCAAGATGCTTCAAGAGACCTACCTGCAAAGCTACCTGAAAAACTATGTGCAAGTGCACCTAGGGCAAAAGTTGCTAAACGCAAAGGATGGTCACACCAAATGTTGATTTAATTTAGTTAATAGAAGTTAATTGATAAAGGAAATCTGTTTATGACATTATTTTTGAAAACATTCTCATTTTACCGCATTTTTACACAAGTGCCTAAAACTTTTACAGTACTGTAACTTTGCAGGTAAGTTTCTTGAAGCATCTTGGAGACAGTGCCACAGTTCTTCTGGATTTAGTCTGTCTCAGTTTGTTCTGTTTCTTCATGTCATTCCAGACAGACTGGATGATGATGAGATCAGATCTCCGTGTATAGCACTGGCTGTTGTCAGACAAAAATCTCACTGGATTATTACAATTAATGGCAAAATGAATGTTTGGAAATGTAAACTGATATTTCCTACTGACACACTACAGCAAAAGATAGAACTAACTAACTTAAAACCATTTTTTTAACTGGTCAAAATGGTAGTGTTCTAATAATTTTGGCCACCACTGTGTATATATATATTACACACAGTAAAAGAGTAAAAATGTTATAGCCTATAGGAAGGGGTCAGAGGGTCCATTCGTATAGAACTCCGGCCTGTACTATAATTTGGGCCTGACACTCTTCAGTTTCTTTTAGGAGATTGACACTAAAAATCCCTCTGAAGTGATTTGTCAAGGGCCTGTTCAAAAATCACACCACCTCCAGACACCAGGGTGGCAAGAAGATGAATCTGGTGCTATTTCATACTAAACTCCCTGTGATTATGTTCACGTAGGAAGGAGCAATATAGATAAGGGCGGAGGGAGACAGACACACACTTTTTAGTGTTTTGATCATTAGTATCTATGGGAAACATCACAACATATGCAGCACAGGAAAGGTTATGAATAATTTGAAATTCAATGCATGTATTCAGTTATTGCTTGCTTCCTCCATGCAGTTTGTTTGGTAAAATGTTTAAAAAGATCTGTTTTAAAAATTAACTCTTGACTAAATCAAATAGTCAGAGTAAAAAATAAAAAAAAACCTGTAACAAATAAAGCTGAGACATAACTATGCACGCACTAATAAGTGTGTAACTTGCGTGACTCTTATGCATGTTTAAACAAAACATTAGCTCATTAAACTCATTTTTAAAGAGATAGTTTGACGTTTTGTGTTCAGTCTGTTCTATGCATCTGATCTCTGCATGTTAACCACATTCCTTACTTCAAGCTTACATGTTATAGACTAAGCCCCAAAGCAAAGGTGGTCATTAGACATATACTTTAAAGCAAGTGATGTTTAGTCAGGGCAGGAATGCTTCATTATAAGCCTTGTAAATCAAACCAGACTTTCTCCTCTTCAGCCTGAGGATGTAGTTTCTTGAGAAATACACAAAGCACTGAGGCTGATGTTAATTCTGTCTCCTTTATTCTTAACAGAGGTGAAAGTCTGTCGAGATGTTCTCAGTGTAAGACGGCCCGGTACTGCAGTGCTCAGTGTCAGGTAAGAGCTCTTCACACAAGCTGTCATCAGAGAGCTTTACAGACAAGCTTATGATGAAGTCTTATTTCAGTGGAAAGATTACATTCAGTTTTTCCACATAAGGTTTTGCACCTAGTGCTTTTGACAAATGCTTAAAGTGATATACACTCACATGAGATGAATATTCCAGTCAAATCAGCAACCTAGATAAAGCAATTTTTATTTTTTTATTTATATTTTATATTATTTTATTTTATTTAGATTTTAATGTTTTGTCTGTGCTTCAGCTGTTTATAATATTAAATAATCAATGTTCATGGCAGAGAAAACTACTTCTTCAAATATTTTTTTCATATTTCTTATTTAGTTTTTCCATTGCTGACTGTTTACTAAAATAATTACTTGGAAAAAACGTATGCATTGTTCACTTAAATTAAAAAATATATATATTTGACGAGCTACATGCCATTGTTTTAAATATATATTTTTAGTATCTATTTTAAAGGGGTCCTATTATGCTTTTTCACTTTGTCAATTTTAATAAGTCTGTAATGTTGCTGTTTGAGCATAAAAAAAGATCTGCAAAGTTACAAAGTTCAAAGTCCACTTCAAAAGGAAATTGATTTGATTTTGACGCAATATTTACACTAAGGCGGGCTTTCATTTGATACAGGAACTATTCGAGCCGTTCATGCCAGATTGGTGAGAGAGTTGTTGTAATAATGTAAAATATGTGAAAAATAATGTGTTTTGCGAACAGCCTAGTATGAGAGCCTGTTCTAGTACACCCCCAAAACAAAATCAAGACTTTGTAAAAGAGCATAATAGGACCCCTTTAATATTTAACTTTTTTGAATAGATTGCATTCAATAGCTCATTCATGTAATAGAACATTAATGTGGTATAGAAACTGTGTTAAAAAAATCATGATTTCACACATAAAACATGAAGAAATGTTTGCATTTAAAATACATAATATTAAACAAAAACATCTTAAATCAGTGACACTCTTTATTGCATTAAGTTTATTGTATTTATTGTGCTATTAATATCAAATATTTTTTGCAGGTTTCTGTGAATGGAAAACTATATTGTGAAATTCAGATATTTAAATGTCATACCTGTGTCTTGTGGAATTGAATACAGTCATTTTGCTTTATGTGACTTTCACTGTCTATCACAACTCTGTATAATGTCATTAAAATTCTCCAGGTTTGTTTTTTTGTTTTTTTTTGAGCCAGCAGTTATCGGAAACTCCTGCATGAGGTCCAGTGTGACTTTCCGTCAGAAGTATTTGGTGCTTGGAGCCATACACCTGTGAAACACGTTCACATTTACAGGATTTTTCTGTATTACTGTCTTTTAACCCTGTAAAGCCTGACATGTGAAATATCGAGGAGAAAAAATATGAGCAAAAATTTGGTGCAGTTGCTTATATTTATATGACCAAAAGGTAAGATGCAATTCTGATAGCTGTGATGTAAATCAGTGAGATTTTTGTAACACTCTAGGCAAGGCAAGGCAAGTTTATTTATATAGCACATTTCATACACAATGGTAATTCACAGTGCTTTACATAAAAGAAATGAAAAAAAAATAAGTGCACCTGCGCCGTGCGCTTTAGACCATGCGCTTAAATCGTTAAAATAGGGCCCTTACTGTGGGGGGCAAAACCTATTATTTAGTTAATTCCTAAAAATTTCACATTCATTTAACATGTTTGTTTTTTTAATTATGATTAGTATATGTGCAAGTAAATAAAATGTGCAGTCCAGCAAGTGTTCATCTTGAAATATTACTAACAATATAACATTTATTCTCATGTTTCCTTTATAAAAATCAGGAAAAAAAATTCACAGCAAAAAGACACAACCTGAAAGGGGACATTTTTACTGAAAGGCCTTTCACTTGCTAAAATGTATAAACTATCAGTCAGCTGACTGAATGTATGCAGAAGCTTGAGTACAAAGCTTTTTTTCAGCAAGATTTTAATCATGTTGATAATTTAAAGGCCTTAGAAATTGCCTTTTAAGATATGATAAGGTAGACTTCATAGGGTTAAAGTTCTAGATTTTAAAGAAATTAAAAAAATTCTAGTAATTGAATTAAATCATTCTAGAAATTAAAAAAATCCTGGCTCATTTCTGTATAAGGAAAGTGGTTGTGTGTAAACATGACAAAGGAAACACCATAAAACTAGTCCATACAACCCATGCACTGTTCTTACAGCTTTGTGAGAGGAACAGGCCAAACTTTAAGTTCATATTCACTTGAAAAAGGTCCTTTCCGCTGTAGTTCTCAGATCTCATTGCTCAAAATTGGGATTTTCAGTCAATAATGAACTACGGCTCTGTGTAGTAAATGCCACTGCATCTGAAAGCAGGTGATGGAGATTTACTACTAATCACGGAACCGGCTTTACTGACGATGCGCATGACAATCACATGCGATTAATTGCACAGCCCTAGTTTGAGACTTTAGTCTTTGCAACTTTAGGGATCTTATCTATTCACGAACAGCTTGTAACACTCCAAAGAGAAAGGAAAATGTGAAATTGCATCATATGACCCCTTTAAATATTGTTCTGTTCCTCACACAAAGCTATCGTAAAACTTCAGAGTGTCATAATGGCTACTTCTAGGACTTTGTCCTTCCTTATTTACTTCTATGCTGTTTTAAAGAACTGTTTTAAAGAACAGCATGAGCGTTCTGCTAACCACAGAAGAAAGAAAGTCATGCAGGTTTGAAAATGACGTGAGGTATAAATCATGACAGACATTTTTGGAGTGAAATATCTCTTTAATGTGTCTTTCACATGCTCCGCAGAAGTCTTTGCAGTTCATGAACATTCAATCTTTCAAAACTAGACGTCACGCTGCTTTAAAATTGCAAAGCTGTCACTGTCAAACCAGCGCCGTTCTCTTCAGGCACTCATTGTTGTCAAGTTTGTCTTTGTCTTTCTGTAATTGTAGGGCGGCCTTTCATCATAATTCCCTCTAAAGGGAGACCACACAGAAAGCACGTTCTGATTGAAGATGTGTAACATCATCATATTTATTTGTTTGTGAAATCTCTTCTATTTATTCTCTGCTTTATCCTCATCTTCACCCTTCAGAAGCAAGCATGGCCCGATCACAAGAGGGAATGCAAATACCTCAAACGCCTCCAGCCACGGATCCCCACCGACTCCGTCCGCCTGGTGGCGAGGATCATTTTCAAACTGGTATGTGACATCAGAGCACCTGCCGTATCGGGACCACTTCAGACCCATTCAAAGAGTGTTTTGCATTTAAAACTGCCACAGGGCTTGAGATTGTTACATCCATTCTGTCTCTTTCCAGCTCAGCCAATCAGAAAGTGACCAAGAGGAGCTGTACTCGATAGTCGAGCACCAGTCACGTAAGTGTGTGTTTAATTGTATTGCATTGTACTGACACAAAGCAAGTGGATGTTGCTATATTGTGTTTTTTAGCACAACTGCAACACTGTGTTGACCAATCAGCATCCAGGACTGAATTTTATAAATTCATGTCAATCGATCGATCAGATCAGATCAGATCATTTTATGAGGAATATGCACTAATCAGGAATGACACAAATTCTGAAAACATTTTATTAAATAAAAAAAAAGGTTTTTAATCAAGTAAATCCAAATCTAGTTTGAAGTTTTTTTTTTTTTTTTTAGAAAATATGTCTTAAACTAATCTTAAACAGTTAGTTGTAATTTTGAATTACTAAACCTAGCTCTTGCCATGAGCATAACCATTGAAGCTGACATGGTGTTAAAAAGGGGGGGAAAAAATTAAGTAAAAAAATTTAATTAAAAAAATCATTAAAATAAAAACCAAATAAATAAATAAAAAAAATCAAACAAAAACGTAAAACATCTTTAAAAAATAACATCTTAAAAATATCTTAATGTTGAAAAAAACATCCTAAAACCGCAAAAACTAGTTGGCTTGTCTCTCAGTCTAGTCTGACTGGTTTTAGAGTGGTTTTGGGCAATTTTCAGCTGCTCAGACCAGCTAATCAACCAACTAAACACCTTGGCCAGGCTGGGATAGATTATCTTAAACCAGCTAAAACTAGCTTAGACCATCTAAGACCAGCAAACCAGCTTAGATTGGTTTGAGGAGAGTTTTCCTTCAAATAAATACAAAATGTGTTCTAATTCACCTATAGAAAAAATTAAGTTGGAAATAAAATAGTGCTGTCAAACGATTAATAGCATCCAAAATAAACGTTTTTGTTTACATAACATATATGAGTGTACTGTTTATATTTATTATGTATATACAGTATAAATACACACACATGCATGTATATATAGAAAAATAAAAAACAAGGAAACAAGAAAAAAGTGTTATGTTTATATATTAAATATATTTATATAAAATATAAATTAAATGAATATAACTATATACATGTAAATACATGTGTATATATATATATATACATAATAAATATACACAGTACACATACATATATTATGTGAACAAAAACTTATTTTGGATGCGATTAATCGCGATTAATCGTTTGACAGCACTAAAATAAAACAGATGATTGGAGTGTGTCTTACAAGAAAATACTAAATAGGTTTTTGTGCTTCAAAATTTCACATTTAATTCAATGTGTTACTTGACTTTTTTTTTGTTTTTTGTATTGATCTGTTGTGTATTAACCTTTAAGCTATAAGGTGTTAAATAAAACCCAATAAAATCTTTAAAAAAAGAAACCTGAGCCAAATTTAATTAATTTAATCCAGTAATCAGGCATCACTCCTGACTTTCATGTGTATGTATTGCCAATATTATGTAATGAAAATGAATTTCTGGTCATCACTGGTATAATTTCAAATGACTGTAATTCAATATTGCCAAGAAATTATAAGGATTTATGCCAATATTGTACAAAAATACACTTTTGAACATTGCCTTTCAGATTTCACAGAAATGGACAATGTCCATCGTCATACCAAAAACCTTTTTTTGCTTTATAAAAAAGTTATATACAGAATAAAAGGCTGTGTTGTTAATGGACAGCAGTAAAAAGCACTAACTTATCCTGTGAGGTTGAAAGATTAGATTTCCTATGATGGAAGTTGAATAAATGTCAGATCCTGGCAGGAGTTTATTGTACCATTATGAATTTTCCTCTCTTTCTTGGTGCGGACCCTCTGTGAAACCTGCCCTGTGGCCCCCGGCTTTTCAAAAGTAATTGGCTATTTTGTCACAAAGAGCCTTGGACTTCTCTTTGGCCCGACTCGTCATAAGTAATGTGCAGCCATTAGAGAAGAAATCCCGCTGATGGTCCTTAAGGAAGCAGCCATCGCCCCTTGTGCTTGTGCTTTCTCATCACACTAACGGCCTTACGAGACGCCACTCACTCTCACCTCAAAATCAAGGTCTCATCGGCTCATGTATTATTTCAGGAAATCCATCAGCTCCTCATTTTTATGTCTAGATTCATATGTAGACCAGTTCCTTTAGACAAACAGAAGAGCGTTTCACAGAAGAGTGATTCAGCTGGTGGTCAAACGATGGGTTTTTCAGTGGCTGATATAGAATCGAATCCTTTTATACTGTATATATTACAGTTTAATGGTAGCAAATGAAACGTGCAAAATTGCAGAAATTGAAGGAATCATTCACCCAAAAATTGACACAATTGGTTTTTATGTCAGCTGTAAGTGGTCATGAGACATTGAGACGTTAAAGTCATTACTTGCTGAATGTTCCCGTGAACTGTAAATGTGCGTTTTCATTGCATGTTCAAGAGAATGAAATCTCCACTTCCAGGGCAAATTATGGCAAAATAGAAATGGGATGTTGTAGCCACTGTGGATCTTAATTAAATATAATAATTTATTTGATTTTTAAAAATAAGGCTGTAATGCTCTCCAAGGTTGCATTCATTTGATAAAAATACAGTTAAAACAGAATATATAGAAATATAGTTATTTTAAATTGTAGAAATATTTTACGATGTAATATATTCCTGTGATGGCAAAGCTGAATTTTCAACATAACTTTTTTTAATGATTCTTTAGAAATCATTACACTGATTTGGTGCTTAAGAAACATTTCTTGTTATTATCAATGTTGAAAACAGTTGTGCTACTTAATAGTTTTGTGATGCATTTTTTCAAGATTTTTTGATGAATAGAAATTTCAAAAGGACAGTAAAATGTCTTAACAATAATCTTTACGGTCACTTTTGAGCATCCTTGATGGATAAAAGTATTAATTTCATAGGGGGAAAAACCCTTACATTTGTTAAGAGGTTTTTTTTTTTTTAAACTGACCTTAAACATTTGCGTGGAAGTGCTGAATTGAATAAAAAAATAAAAATATATCCACCTCAAGTGTGCATATGTAATTTTATGCTCTTTTTGGAAATGCTATTTGCGTATTGTTTTTCCATTCAGCATTTTTATCTGATATGCCAAAATATGCAGAAAAATGCACGTATGGCAAAACATCTCAATGCTGCATTTTTTAATTAAAAGCAAGTGCAAATCAGACATGAGACCTATTTCAAAGGCAAACATTTTTATAACTCCTTTACATTTAATCACATAAAGCATCATATGTATGTATGTACCGCACAAATCGTATTAAACATTTTTATGGTGCTTTTGTAGTGTATTCTTGGAGTTCTACAGCCAGTCCCCATTCATATATTTATTGTATGGAAAAAAATGTGAAAAATATTTTATTTTTTGTTCCACAGAAGGGTTTGGAACAACATAAAGATGTGTAATTGGTCACAAAATCTTTATTTTGGGTTGAACTATCCCTTTAAGGAGACCAACCCCTGCTTAAGGCTCATAATTCCACACACGTTCAACCTCTCATGCTCTTGAGAAGTGGGAAGTGTGTAGATCCGTCTGCCATCCAGCCTGTTATTTTCTTCTCAGGAGAGGTTTCAGACCCCACTGGCGCTCATTTACTGCCTGCTACTTTTTCATTTTTGTAATTGACAATCTATCTATAATCTTTGAAAATAAATCGTGATTATCCAAAGAACAGCTTTGAATCATTTCAGTTTGTCCAACAAGCCTAAGCACTGTAATTTTGTTCCGTTTTGTAGAGATAGAAGATAAAAGATACTACACGTGGTGAAGACGTTCCAGATTTATGTATTGAATCTGCAGAGTTTTACTACTGTGTGTGTCTGTTTATGATGGTGAATGTGTGTGTGTGTGTGTGTGTGTGTGTGTGTGTGAGAGAGAGAGCGAGAGATATGAGCCGTGAGCTGTAGCCGCGGGTCAAGCGTTTGCTCTATCTGCCGCAGCAGCAGTGAACACACTGAACTGCATTGATGGTGCGTTTGGAGGAAATGAATCAGAGCAGGAGGGTTAATGAAAAAGCCCATATGTTTGGCAAAGCTGACATAAATCACACATTCTTCCAAATACACACTCTCATGCTACAGTCAGACCGCTTTCTTTCCAAATACACACTAATCAGACATCCATTTTACTGGTGCAGCCAGAAAGACAAGCAAAAATGCTTTTTGATTCATCTTCATTGGTTAAACACACACTAACAGGTGAAAACACACACACACAAAAGCCTTTTATCCTCCTCTGGTTTCTTATTGTGCGTTTCGGCTCTTTTGTGCTTCATCCTCGTTGATCATCATTAGTCTTTTTCGCAGCTTGTGTTGGTTCAGCTCAGTGTTGTTTACATCTGCATGGTCACCGATAACATTGTATGTGAACTTTTTTCAGGTAAATTAGGTTTAATTCTGTTTTTTGTTTTTCTAGTCTTGACGTTATTTATTACTGCATCCAGTGTAATTTATGAACAGCTACAAGGATGATACATTTTTTCATTGATACATAACCTTAAAATACCCAAGTTTTGTAGGTGGAACTTTGGGTGCAGAAAGTACAGACATAGTGCAGACATACATATAATTTAAGGTAATAAAATGAAATAAAACAGTAATAATAAAGAGAATAGACACACACACACAAACAATATGGTAATAAAATATGGAGAAAAAAATCCATTATAAATGTTCCATTATAGTTTTACATAAAATGTTCCATAGAATTAGCTTTTATTTACTTTTTTTGAGTTTTCATTTTAATTTTAGTTTAAATTTTCATACTTGTATGTGCTTTCATAGATTTATGAGTTTTTTTTTTTTTCTATTTAGCTTCAAATTTATTTCAGTTTTAGCAATTTTACTACTTAAGCTTGAACTGCTTTATTTCAGCTTTATTTCAGTAATGAAAATGATTTTTAATAGTTTGATTTAATTAACAATGACAACACTGATTTCAACATATCTTTTTGGACATTTACCATGTTAATACAGTGTTTTGTAGAAATGTACCATGGCAGTACCATGTTTTTGAACATTTACAAAAATAATACCATGGTTTT